CCTAAGAAGAATTAAAGAAGGGAATCCATGCTGCATTGTTTGAACCTTATGGCCCCATGGACTATGTTGCATCTTAAACTTGGCTATTTTTAACCCCTGATTTTCAATGTCTTGTGCCCATAAAACAAAAATTGTCCAAAGTGCATGACATTTTTTTGGGGTCATGGATGGAGGACGATAACTGATTATTTGTTTGCCTCCCTTTAAGACCTCTGAATAGTGATAAAGATGCTGCCATATATTGAATAAAGGTAGAAGATATACTTTGTCTTCTCGATCGGATGTTTATACATCACAAAATTATAAGAAACACCAATAGGCACAATTCCTCTTTTTTTTCTTCCTTCTTCTTCTTTTTTTTTTTTTTTTTACAGTTTTATTTTGGACCGTTAAGGTATTCCAAGACAAATTTTTATGTTTTTCTATGGACGATTTTAAGATACACCCCCATATTTGTTAAGTGCATTAAAAAAAATTAATTGTTTTAAGTGTTGACTATGATCAAGGCATTCCAAAACAAATTTTTATGATTTTTACTGACGATTTTAAGATACACCCCCATATTTGTTAAGTGTATTAAAAAAATTAATTGTTTTAAGTGTTGACCCTAACACTTAAACCTTAGACATGGGCTAGAGATGAAACATGCTTACCAATTAAGGCAACACCTAACCTAGAAATTAAATTTAGTATAAGTTTTTTGAGGACCTGTTTGGTTTATTAAGAACCTGAAAAACCATTTTAGGGGAGCCATCCATTGAAGAGTTGAAGGCCTGGTCCATGAAAAAAAGATTCTAGAGAGAAAAAAAAATGATTTTTTTCTTTAAGTTATATCTGCTTACAAAAGAAATGTAAATGGTCATTTTAATATAATCAGTTATAAAGATAGTGTATTCAATTACATATTTAAAAATAAAATTTTTTAATACATTTAATAATAAATTATATAAGAGAAAATAACTCTTTCATTTTCTTAAATTTTTTTCCATTCAACTTAATATTTGAAAATGAGATTTTTTATTTGAAATCTCAAATACTTAATAAGTTGAATCACATTTTTTAAGTCTAAGAAAGTTTTTTTCCTAAGATTTTTTTACCCTAAATTATATTTCTTATAATTGACTACATTTTCTTTGCTCCTAGATTCAAAATCCCGAACCGAACAGAGCTACCAAATTTACACAACTTTACTGAAAAATTTTTCCAAGTTCCTAATAAACCATAGAGATCCTAAAAGTTTTCCGAATGTAATTTGCCTAAGAAATTTCCTTGGCAACAATTCTATCTTTGCTTTTAGCTATGTTTTTTTAACAGAGATGGCAGGAATTTGCAAGTGAAAAAGAAAATTGGTAATCACGAATGGGTCCAATGGTCAAATTAAAAGTGGAAAAAAAATGGAAAAAAGATTCCAACCAGCCTGGCTTATGATTAGGGCCAACTGCTTCGATTCCCTTTCCCAAAATTTGTACTTGTTAAAAAAATAATAATAATAAAACACAAACAAACAAACAACAAAACCTGCCTAACCCACTTGATGCTAAGATACCACAGACAATCCATATAAATCTGCCTGGCAAAACTTTTTTTTTTTTTCAAATTTGATCACTTATTTTAAGGTGGTAATAAGATATAGAAATAATTTTTTATATAATTTTTATATATTATTAAATAAATATATATTTAATATTATAAATTACAAATGAATAAATAAAATTTTAACATAAGAGAATTTTTAAAAATGAAAGATTTTTTTTTTCAAATAGTTAATGAGAATCAAATTTTTAATTAATTAAATTTAAATACTAAATTCTAAAAATAAATCTTTGAATTTTAAGGTTTGATTCAATAAAAAGAATTAATTATGTAAATTATATATAAAATTATATATAAAATTATCCCAAAATTATAATTTTTTATTTTATTTGTTTTAATATGAAATTCTAATTTAGTACAATCCAATTTCTGCGGCTTCATCATAGCAGCAAAATATATTGATCTAATCAAGGTCTGCCTTAAAGCATGAAAGTTGCCGAAAGACGTCAGAGATGATTCTTTATTATGTCCGCGATAAGTTTTATAATTTTTTTATATATTAAATAATAAATTATATAATAAAAAATATTTTATTTAAATTTTTCTTCTATCTACTTTAAAGTTAAATTTAAGATTTTTAATATTAAGAATTAATTTTTGTAATTATTTACACGTATCCTATGAGACAAGATGTTAACGATGATGTGAGAATCAGGGCCATCCCTATGTTCTTCTCAAAAATAGAGAAGAAAAGAAAAAGGCTATATATAAAAAATGGAGACCATGGAAACCGAGGCTTAATTTATTCAATTAATCAAGTAGCCTCAAGTTTCATCCTTAATATACAGATCAGACGAAAACTGAAGAGCATACCAAAGTTAATTTGGAGCAATGGAAAGAAAGGTGGCCATAATTGGAGCTGGTATTAGCGGCTTAATAGCCTGTAAGTATTCCCTCTCCAAGGGCTTCCACCCCATTGTTTTTGAGGCTCAAAGCAGCATTGGAGGGGTGTGGTCCAAAACAATTGAGTCTACAAAACTCCAAACTCCGAAAGAGTTATACCAGTTCTCCGATTTTCCGTGGCCATCTTCGGTCACAGATGACTTCCCTAACCAACATCAAGTCTTTGATTATATCCAAGCTTACGCACGCCATTTTGATCTGCTTAAGCACATCAAATTCAACAATAAAGTAGTTGGAATTGAGTATCATGGCTCGTCTGAAGCAGAGTTGCAGTCATGGAGCTTATGGGGTGGCACTGGTGAGCCTTTTAGCTCTACAAGGAAATGGAAGGTCCATGTTCAAGACACTGAAACTCTATCAACAGAGGTATGTCATGTGTATACCCAGAAGAACAATACATTAAACAGATCAAAGTTTTTTGGTTTTTTCACTTATCCTAAGGTAGATGATTTATGTAAGCAGATTTATGAGGTGGACTTTGTAATCCTTTGTTTGGGGAAGTTCAGTGGGATGCCAAACATTCCAGATTTCCCTGCAAACAAAGGGCCAGAAGCATTTCATGGGAAAGTAATTCACTCAATGGAATATGCATCAATGGACTATGAAACTGCTGCTCAATTCATCAAAGGGAAGAAAGTCACTGTTGTTGGATTCCAGAAATCTGCTCTGGACATTGCAATGGAGTGTGCAACAGCAAATGGTAATTTTTCCTGCTCGCATTTTCAATTTCTTTGTCCAATCTTATTAGAATGGAGATGTGGTTTTCATATGTCATTGTTTTTTATCAGGGGTAGAAAATCCCTGTACAGTTTTATACAGGACTGAATACTGGACTGTCACTGATTACTTTCCATGGGGCATCTCCCTAGCAAAACTATACCTTAATCGCTTTTCGGAGCTTTTAATTCATAAGCCTGATGAAGGGTTTCTGCTTAGTCTCTTAGCAACAATGCTTTCACCTGTGGTAAATTTTCTATCTCCTTTTCTTTGGGTTCTCACATTAAGGATCATATGTGACCAATTGGGTACCTACGTTACTAACAATCTTGTAACAGAGATGGTGTTTTTCGAAATTAGTCGAAAGTCATTTCAGAAGGAGACTTCCTCTGGCAAAGTTTGGAATGGTACCAAAGGAAAGCTTTTTCGAACACTTAAATTTCTGCTTGATCCCAACAATTCCAGAAAAATTCTATGATAAAGTTGAAGAAGGAAGCATCAGATTGAAGAAAGCCCCGAGCCTTAGCTTCTGTAAAGATGGGGTTGTGATAGATGGAAATGAGGCGGCTCCAATAGAAACAGACTTGGTTATTCTAGCAACAGGATTCAGGGGAGATAAAAAGCTCAAGGACATTTTTGTATCCCAAACCTTCCAAGATTGCATTTTCGGTACTCCAAAGGCAGCGGTTCCACTCTACAGGTATAACATTTTTGCTTTCATGTTCTCCAATAAATGTAAACTATTTGTTTCTAATTCCATTGTTTCAAGTTTGAATCTAGGGATAGCAAGGTTATCTATCCGTTGTATATTTCATTTTCAGATGTAGAAATTAATTCTTTTGTTTGATTAGGGAATGCATTCATCCTCGGATACCCCAACTAGCAGTAATTGGATTCTCTGAAAGTGTGGCGAACTTGTACACCTCTGAGATGAGATGTAGATGGCTAGCAGAGCTTCTGGATGGAAAATTCAAACTGCCCAGCATTATGGAGATGGAAAAAGATGCAGAGAAATGGGATGCATTCTGGAAACAGTACTCTGGTGGATACTCCAGGAAATCATGCATTGCTGCCATTCATATATGGTACAATGATCAACTTTGCAAAGACATGGGATGGAACCCAAAGAGAAAGAAGGGATTCTTTGCTGAGCTATTTGAACCTTATGGCCCCAGGGACTATGTTGCCCCTTAAACTTGGCTATTGGACTTCCCTTGATTTTCGATATCTTATGCGTATAAAAATAAAATTTGTGCAAAGTCCAAATTGCTGACCTTTTTCTTTTCTGTCATGGATGGAGGACAAGCACTAGAATTTGATTGTTTGCCCACCTTTCAGTCTTTCTCCTTTTGGTATTTTGTCAAATGAATTGTAGTTCCGTGCCGTGTAAGATTGTTGCTGCTTTTCTGGTTCTGCATAAAAATGGAGGCAAAAAGACACATTGCGTACCACGTTATGTTTAGCTTATTTGGTGTGTAACTGAAGATTTGGCATGAAAGTATATAAACCAGAATTCATGTCAACTTCCAGCACAAAACCCAGAAATTATATTTTGGCTAGTATGAATGTAAATAAATCATAAAGATATACGATAAGACTTCCATGAATCTTGTATATACCAAAAGTAATTTGCTTCAAAATTTCCTTGTGTTTCCCTCAGTAAATCTATTTTTTCCTGTAGCTATATATATATATATTTAGAGAGATTGCAAGAACAAAGTTTAAACATAGATGGTGTTATAGGGATAATATTTTTATATCATATTTTTATATGATTTTCATATGTCAATTAATGCATTCAATATTATAAATCTTACATGAATTAAAAAATCAACCATTTTAATGATACATTTAAAAGTGAAAAAAAGAAATAAAATAAAAAGATTATACAAAAATAATTCCCTTAAAACATTTAGAAGTGAAAAAAGAAAATTTTCTTATCATCTTCTGGATTTGGGTACATTAGTCGAACTAACAGGAAAAAAAAAATTTACATTCAGCGTGGCTTACGGCGCAACCCAATTGTATCAACAAAAATTTGCCTAAATTTGTGTTTATTAAAATTCAAATTTTTATATTACCAAACAATTAACTTTTCAATATACTAAAAAATAAACCAACCAATTGTTTGAATTTTCCTTCCAAAAATTCATTTTTTTCTTTTATAAATACTAATGGAAGGATTTTGCTTTAAATTTATATTCACTCATTTATTTATCTTTTATTTATGAGGAATTAAACATTATTTTGATAGATTCTTTCCCGAGAAAAGAGGGTTCCACTTTTTTTTAAGTAAAATTCTAGTGATCTATTAATTTGAAATTTATAAAAATAACATAATGAGATTAATTGTGAGTGTAATCTAAAATTTTAATAAGCTGAAATTTAAATTTCAAATAAATAACCTTGATTTTAATTGAAATTCATTTACTATTTATTTATTTTTTTTGCTAACAATGAAAAGTAAATAAATTACTACCATTCTAATTTAAAGAAGCATTGAAATATTCAAAAAAATTACAATTAAAAAAATTAAAAAAAAAGGATTAAAATGAATTGATAAATACAAAAGTTATTTAGATACTAATAAAATTTTAGTTTTTTTTTTAAACCTTTTTTTGACCTTTTGGACTTAATGGCGGCAGTATTGACTTATGATATAAAGCAAACAAAAAAGGCTGTGAGACCGCGTGATGGTTATGTACGCTTAGACTTTGTTTGACGATACTGTCTTGTAATTATAGTTATAAATTATTAATAATTTATTGATTTGAGTAGGAAAAATTTAATTTTTTTAAATAAAATTTTAAGTTTGAGTTTTGTGAATGAAAAAATAATTATTGAGAGAGTTTTTTCCCATATGAGATCGACTCAATTTGATTTTAGATTAATTAAAACTAAATGTAATGTCTGGATACCAAAAAATTGATAAAAAAAATTATAGTTATAAATTTTTTGATTTTTTAATATCTTAAAAATATATAAAAACTTAAAAACTAAAATACCTCGAAATGTTGTCTAAAATCAACCAGGCGAAAAAAGTTCTAAAACAGATCGCATATTTTATTTTTGTTGAACAATCAGCGTGTTCACAAGTTTAATATTTATATATTTTGAAACTAATTTATTTCGTCAAAACATTTTAAGAATGCATTCTCATATTGGTCTTATTGATTCAAAAAACTTAATTTCCTTCTATGCCGGTCCCAAAAGTTAAACTCAACACTTGCTTACTAATGAAATCATCCCTTAGAGTTACGTATTTTATTTGTTTCAATATAAATTTTTAGTTTTATTGAAACCCAACCAAGGATGAGCCAGACTTTTTGGATAATGGGAGCAAAATTTTAAATAATTTTTTAGTTTTGATGGGTTTACATTAAGATAATTTATATTAATTTTTAACCATTAATAATGTAGTTTATTGGTAGAGTTATATATACTTTTAATGACAAGTCTAGAGTTTAATTTATAGCTTTTACGTAAAAAAAATTATACTAATTTTTATATTAATCATTAATTTATATATAAATATACTATTTATAACATACATACCGACCTTAATTAATTAAATATATTTAATTATTTTTTAATAACATACAATTCAATACCTTAAATGAATAATATAAAATAATGAGAAAAATATTAATAAGTTGGATCTAAAAAAAATTATGAAAAAAATATTTCAAAACTATCTTATTTAAATAAACTCCAATTAAAATAAATATACTTAATTAACATATTTTTAGAGTAAGAATGAAGACTATATTCATATTTTTTTTGTGATACTTTATTAGAATATTCTAGTTTTGAAGTATTTTTTATCTCTTTTTTGTAAGTCTAGTGAGTAGTGAATAAATACTAATTTCATACAAAATATAGTTTTTTTAATATAGTTATAGATATTAATGAACTCTAAATTAGAATATCATGTCTAACTATTAAATTAATAAAATATAAATTATAAAGAAAATTACAACTAATATAAAATATTTTTTCATAATCAAATGAAATTATTTATCTTAAAAATTAATTACAAATAAAGAAATAGTCTCTTCACCGAACTCCTAAATAATTTCTTTAAATTTAAAATGATTCTTGTAATTCAAACATATAAAACAAATTTATACTAATAAACAATTAATGTATCATATTAAACGTTTTTCAAAAGCTTAGGAGGCCGCTTGGCCCCCCCTTGTCCTATGGTCGCTTCGTCCCTCGACAGTGGACCCAACCATCAATAAGAAATTTATGCCAAATTTCATCACATGGTCCGATATGTGTCCGATATGTGGTGCGCTTTAAATGAGGAGGTAAGAGATTACTTGTTTTAGGGATTGAATCTTCAGTTACTAACAATTTTTAATCTAACTACTAACCATTACTCTTGTAAAAAAATAAAAAAAAAAAAAAAAAAATTAAGCCAACAACAACCAAACTTCTTTTTTTTTTTTTGACAAAGACAATAATTAATGATTAGTAAAGTTAGAATTATTAATGAAAGGTATTAAACCTGAATAAGGTTGCAATCCATCAATTGCCCTTTTGGGCAAAAGCGACTACAGCCACAATAAGAGAATGTAAGAAGGAATAAGAATTGAACTCCACATTCAAGATAAAATGTCCTTTAACCAATAGTTAACTTACCACTTGTGCCACGGGCTTCTTCGTCACCATCCAACTTGTGCAGGTTCATAGCAGTCAAATATATTGGCCTAACCATGGTTTGGCTTGGAGCATTAAAGTTACTAAAAGATGCTAGAGACGATATCAGAATAAGGATTCATTGTTTCCTTTCTTTTCAACAGAACAATTATTCTTCATTGCCTATTTTCAGGAAAAACCAGAACAATTATTTATCATTTTTTTTAAACAAGAGCAATTGTGAGGGAAAAGGACAAATGAACGAGCTCATGGATTGAAGAAGTACCAATGATACGTAAGTCAAATATAAATATTTAAATAATTGATAAAATATAAATATTTAAATAATTGATAAGATTTTCAACCAGTACTATGATTTAGGACAAACCAAAGGTCGGTTCAATTATTTCTCATTGTCAGTAGCTTATCTAAAGGCAAAGGGGGAGACTGGGTCAACGTAAACCGAGGCTTAATTTATACAAATGATCAAGTTGCCTCAAACTTCCGGCTAAAACCAACTTTGGCCCCTCACTTTATAAAATTAATATAATTTAACCTTTAACTTTATAATATGATATTTTTAGTCTTTTATCTTACAAAGTTGGTAAGTTTTAGTCTTTTATCTTACAAAGTTGGTAAGTTTTAACCCTTTACTTTACAAAGTTGGTAGGTTTTAGCTTATCACCTTATATTATGACACTTTTAGTCCTTTATCTGTATGAATTAAAGAAAATAACCCTTATTTAACATCAGGTTATAATATTCTATTAGTTCTGATAACTAACTGTCAATTTTGTTAGTTGACTGTCAATTCTGTTAACTAACTGTCAATTTTGTTAACTAACTATTAGTTTTGTTAGTTGACTATTAGTCATTTAGTTAATGGAACTAACAAATAAAATTAAATTTAAATTTCATATTTTTTATAATAGAATGCTAACGGTTATTAACAATCAACTAACAAAGCTAACAGAACGTTATAACTTGATATTAGGTGAGAGCTATTTTCTTTAATTCATATCGATGAGGAATTAAAAATATCATAATATAAGGTAAGGGGTTAAAACATACCAATTTTGTAAGGTAATGGGCTAAAACTGATCAATTTTGTAAGATAAAATGTTCAAATTGTCATGTTATAAGGTGATGAACTAAAACCTACCAATTTTGTAAGGTGAGGGGCTAAATGTTAGTTTTTGCCCAAACCTCACCCTGCAATATACAACCCGGGAGAGAACTAAAGAGCATATCAGAGTTAATTTGAAGCAATGGATAGAAAGATAGCCATAATTGGGGCTGGTGTCAGTGGCTTAATAGCCTGTAAGTATACCCTGTCCAAGGGCTTCCACCCCATTGTTTTTGAGGCTGAAAGCAGCATTGGAGGGGTATGGTCCAAAACTCTTAAGTCTACAAAGCTCCAAACTTCCAAAGGTTCGTACCGGTTCGCCGATTTTCCATGGCCATCGTCGGTCACGGAAGACTTCCCTGACCATCGTCAAGTCTATGAATATCTCCAAGCTTACGCGCGACATTTTGATCTGCTTAAGCACATCAACTTCAACAATAAAGTAGTTGGTATTGAGTATGAAGGTGCATCCGAAGCAGAGATGCAGTCATGGAGCTTTTGGAGTGGCAATGGTGAGCCCTTTAGCTCTACAAGGAAATGGAAGGTCCATGTCCAAGACATTAACACCCTATCAACTGAGGTATGTCATGTGGGTATACATTTAGAAGATAAATACATTAATCAGATTAAAGTTTTTTTCAGTTTTTTCCTTATCCTAAGGGACACGATTCATGTAAGCAGATTTATGAGGTGGATTTTGTAATCCTTTGTTTGGGGAGGTTTAGTGGCTTGCCAAACATCCCAGAATTCCCTCCAAACAAAGGGCCAGAAGCATTTCATGGGAAAGTAATTCACTCAATGGAATATGCTGCAATGGACGATGAAAGCGCTGCTAAATTCATCGAAGGTAAAAAAGTCACAGTTGTTGGGTTCCAGAAATCTGCACTGGACATTGCAAACGAATGTGCAGCAGCAAATGGTAATTTTTTCCTGCTCACATTTTTAATTTCTTCACTTCAACCATATTAAAATGGATATCTGGTTTTCATATGTCATTGTTTTTCACCAGGGGTGGAAAATCCCTGTACAGTTTTATACAGGACTGAATGTTGGACTATACTTGATTCCTTTGCATGGGGTGTCCACATGAAAAATTTATATGGCAATCGCTTCTCAGAGCTTTTAGTTCATAAGCCTGGTGAAGGGCTTTTGCTTAGTATCTTGGCAACAATGCTTTCACCTGTGGTAAATTTTCTATCTTCTTTCCATGGGTACTCATATTTTTTCTATGGATCATGAACAATTGGGTGCATTACTAACAATCTTATAACAGAGATGGTGTTTTTCAAAATTTGTCGAAAGCGATCTCAGAAGGAGGCTTCCTCTGGCAAAGTTTGGAATGGTACCAAAGCAAAGCTTTTTTGAAAATAAAAATTCCTGTTTGATCCCAACACTTCCAGAAAAATTCTATGGTAAAGTTGAAGAAGGAAGCATCAGATTGAAGAAAGCTCCAAGCTTTAGCTTCTGTAAGGATGGGGTTGTGATAGATGGAAATGAGGCTGCTCCAATACAAACAGACTTGGTTATTCTAGCAACAGGATTCAGAGGGGATAAAAAGCTCAAGGACATTTTTGTATCCCAAACCTTTCAAGATTGCATTTCCGGAACTCCAAAGGCAGCAGTTCCACTCTACAGGTTTAACATTTTCTCTATGTCTTGCTCTCCACGAAATTTAAACTATTTGTCTCGAACTCTATTTTTGCATATTTGAATCTAGGAATGGAAACGTTATCTGTCATTGTATATTTGATGTGTTGATGTAGAAATTGATTCTTTTGGTCCATCAGGGATTGCATTCATCCTCGAATACCCCAACTAGCAGTGATGGGATTCGCTGATAGTGGGTCGAAGGTTTTCACCTCGGAGATGAAATGCCTCTGGCTAGTAGAGCTTCTGGATAGAAAATTCAAACTACCCAGGATTAAGGAGATGGAAAAGGATGCAGAAAAATGGGTTGCATACTGGAAACAGTATTCTGGTAGGTACTACCGGAAATCATGCCTTCTTTCCACTAACATATGGTATAATGATCAACTCTGCAAGGACATGGGATGGAACCCTAAGAGGAAGAAAGGATTCTTTGCTGAGCTATTTGAGCCTTACGGCCCCATGGACTATGTTGCCCCTTGAACTTGGCTATTGTTAACAGTGATAAAGATTGTGCTGTTCGGGTTCTTTTCGTGCCTGAACGTTTAGCATATTTGGTCCAATTGTAGCTTTTATTAAGGTGCCAGCTAATGTGCTGTAGCATGAAATTATAAATAACTGTTCTGAGCACAATGACCATCAGACCATGTTCTATTCTTCGAATAAGTTAATAAAAAAAAAATTCTTATGAATTAAGTTTTTGGGGCAATAGAAAGAAAGGTGGCTCATAATTGGGGCTGGTACCAAAGTATACCCTCTATAAGAGCTTCCACCCCATTGTTTTTGAGGCGCAAAGCACTCTGCTAGCTCTGGATCTAAGATGAGAAATTCTTTTATTAATGAAGAAAAGGAGCAAAGGATGGAGATCACAAAATTAGAAGAGGATAAAAAGGGAGAGTGAAAGATTAGAGGAAAGAAAGAAAGTAAAATCGGAGCAAATACCTAATCGGTGGAACACAATAGTAATTTACTCCAAAAATGGAATTTCCCTTTGTTTCCAATTTTAAAATCCATCTTTGTTTCATAAATAGAATAAAATAAAATCTATCTTTGCTTTTGATAAGTTAGAAATAGAAAAAATGTGTGTTAGTTTCGGAGCAGAGGATCTGTTTCAACATCATACAGAACTTGTATCAAAGAGTCAGGATGATACAGCAAAAGACTATATCAAGAGTAAAAAGACTATCAGATGAATCTCGAAAAGTGATTAATGAATTGGGTCACTATGAGCTTGAAGCTATCGCTATTCATGGAGTAGAGGTTTTATTCTGCCCTATTTAAAAGGACTTTCTGCATGTTAAAGGTTCAAAATCTCTCTAAAAAACAAAACAGGAGCAATAACCGTAATGTTGAAACAAAATTAATGTTCTGAGAACCAATTGATGCTAACACTCGACTGAGGATCCATATAAAATTTGCCTAGCAAAAGAAAATTTCCAAATCAAACCACATATTTTTTTTGTTCGAATATGAAATTTTAATTTTAGTAACACCCACCTTGGGACAGGTTCAGAACAGCAAAACATATTGACCAAATCAGAGGTCTCCCTTGGAGCATTAAAAAGTTGCTAAAAGATGTAAGAGATGACATAAGAATAAGGATTTGTTTTTTTTTTTTCTCTAAAAAGAACAACCATCTATGATTTTCAGTTTCCTTAATAGGTGGGAGGTGGACGGCCGTAGGGATGTCAACGGGGTTCCACGGGGTCGGAGAATCCTTCCCCATCCCTGTCCCCGTGAATGACGGGGACGGGGATCTCCGCGGAGATTTTTGACAGGGGGCAAAATTTGCCCCCCATCTCCATTCCCCGTCAATTAACATCAAAATACATCTTTTTTACATCAAAAATAAGTAAAAATTAATGAGGCGTGCATCAAACATATAGTGAGTGAGGATGATGGGATACTGCAGCTTCGACAGCAACTCTAGGCTTCAGCAGCAGATTGACAGCAACTCCAGGCTCCAGCAACAGATCGACAGCAGTTTCAATAGCAGATCTATAGCAGCAGCAGCAGCAGATGTGTAGCAGCAGCAGCAGCAGATGTGTAGCAGCAGCAGCAGATCTGTAGCAGCAGCAGCAGATCTGTAGCAGCAGCAGCAGATCTATAGCAACAGCAGCAGCAGATGTGTAGCAGCAGCAGATGTGTAGCAGCAGCAGCAGCAGATTTGTAGCAGCAGCAGTAGCAGATTTGTAGCCGCAGCAGCAGATCTGTAGCAGCAGAAGCCAAAAGGGAAGGGGAAAGTAGAAGGTGAGGTTGTGAGAATGAGTGAAGAAGAATTGCAGAAGCAAGAAGGGGAGGGCTATGAGGTGTGCTGCGTGAGTGAGAAAGGGAAATGAATAGGGTTAGGAAATTAGGGTTGGAAGGAGGATGATGGGTTGTGTTGGGATGGGTTGGGGTGGGTAAAGTTTAATTTTTATTGGATTGGGTTTGAGTTTGGGTTTGGGTTTAATTTTAAAAATTAAATTAAATTTAAAATAAAATTA